CTATCTACTAGTGCCTTTAAGAATAGGAGGAGGAAATCTAGTCTCTTTAACGCTAAGTCTACTAGCTGCTACTACTACTACTACCTTATAAAGCTACCTAGTACTATAGTTAAGATACCCTAGATAAAGATAATAAGAGTAAAGATAATAAAGATAATAACGTTAGCTATACTATAGAAATAGGTCCCTAAGATAATAATAATAGATCTATTTATATAAGGGATTATTACTATAACTTTAATAAATCTAATAGCTAGCTAGTAGCTAATAGCTAGCCTACTTCTAGCTAACTTGCCTATAGTTAGCTAGTATTTAGCTAACTTGCCTATAGCTAGCTAGCATCCTATTAACTAATATATAACTATTAATACTACTAGCCTATATATATAACTAACTAGCCTATATATTAATAACCTATATATACGCCTAGCTAGCTAGCTTATAGTTAACTAGCCTAAAGTCTATACCTATACCTATATATGCCTAGCTAGCTAACTTATAGCTAACTAATTTATAGCTAGCCTATATATATACCTAACTAACTAGTGTACTAAGCTAACTACTATTAACCTAACTACTTAACTAGTAATAATAACTAGGATTATAGTAGTAATAATAATAGTAACACTATTAAAGACACTAATAAATATAAGGACTTTAATAACTATAAGAATAAATATAGTAATAATAAATATAGTGACAGTTATAGTAACAATAATAACTATAACAAGGACTATTAACCCTTGACTATTAACCTTTAGGTATATCCTTTCTGCAATAGCTACAACAGCCTTATAGAAGCCTAAGGCACACAGTTAACTACCCTGTTAGCTAGTAAATAATTGCCGTACAACGATTATTTCTATTATTAGGGGGGCACTTGTCACAGGACAATATGCGGCCGACCTTCGGATCCACTTTCTTGGCCTTGCCGATGGATCCATTGGTCGGGCCGATATCCTGCCGACAGCTGGTGCCCCACTGGGCCCCACCTGTCGCCAGTCTATAAGACCGGCTGTTGCTAGCCGTAGCTCTAGCTTAGTTAGTCATCGAATCCATCACCTATTTAACCGTGTCAATAACTATAGTATACTCTCTAAAGCCCTTAATAAAAATGTATTTCAAATGTATTTTCCCTTAATACACTGGTTATAGCGCTAGCAGGAAGGTCCTGGAGCAGCGGTTGTGTGCACCTGCCTACTTAAGTGTAGTTATTCTAAGACCTTCTAGTCTTAGAATTCTGTATCCTTTTACGTAGATACTACAGTGGGCTACGTATAGGACACGTCAGCAGTGTAACCACCACTGGAGCAGCCTAGCTGCCAGTCACGTGACATTATTCTAAGACTACCCTACGGTCGCAGGTTCAATTCCCCCTCACGTCACGGCAGGTGGGCTCTTGCCTGGGCTGATAGCCCTAGGGCTGGGGGATGTGGGCTTAAGTAAGCAAGTCTTGGTAGAGCCAGCCAGGGACCAGGGCATGCGCTGTGGACAGCGCGCTAGCGTGGCAAAGGCGGGGATGGTGTCACGGCGCTGGCAGGAAGGTCCTGGAGCAGCGGTTGTGTGCACCTGCCTACTTAAGTGTGGTTGTTCTAAGACCTTCTAGTCTTAGAATTCTGTATCCTTTTGCGTAGATGCCACAGTGGGCTACGCATAGGACACATCAGCAGTGTAACCACTACTAGAGCAGCCTAGCTGCTAGTCATATAACACTTTTTTAGTACTTATCCTAAGGAGTATTAACCTTTTAGTAGTAGTTATTATAGTATTTCTTACTATTTTTTTAAATTATATAAATTTTTTTCTCTAGACTAAGGCTAAAGTAATATTTATTAGAAAATTAAATTTAGTGCTAGTAATAAATGTCTAGTTACTTTAAAAGTAGCTCTTAGGCTTTTTTTATATAGTCTTTTATAGTATATAGGCTAACTTAGTTCTTTTAGTAGGTAATACACTTATAGTATCTAAGTATACCTATTACTTAGTAAATAGTCTACTAGTAATAGTTAACTTCTAGGCTAGCCTTAGTAGATAAAGACTACTAAGTAAAAGTCCTTATATCTTATTTATAATCTTATACTAATCTCTTTATTTTCTAGATATTATTAAAGGAAAAGATCCTCTTTTTTTCTTATGTTTTATCTATAAAAGGGTTATTATAGAAGCAACAAGACCTATTAGCAAGAATATTATACCTAGACCTCTAGCTAACCCTATAGTAGTTAAAAATCTACTGTTTTAGGTATATTAGATTAATATATAATAAATAATTAACTACCCCTTAGATCTTTGCTTTTCTTAGGGTATTGAAATGCTAGCGGCCTATTTTGTATAGGTATTAATTAAAGGAAAAAATGATGTTGAGAGTACTATAGGTTGTTAGTTGTGAGGGGTAATAATAGGGGGTAAGTGGTGACGTGTGCACTTTTTTTTGTACACTGTGTGCCCCGGTGCCGGTTTGGTGTACCTGTAGGAACACGCTCATCATGCATCACTCTTATGGGTCAAGCCTTCTTTCCTGGCCTCGTCTGCGAGTGCAAACCCTTGGACTGCTCACAGGTTCCAATTGATGATTGCTGTCTCATCATTGGTCGGCTGGGCGTGTGACATAGCTTCCAGAAGTCTGCATCGAGGATGGCTAGATCGGCTCAACCGACGGGAGGGAGGGTGTGGTTGAGAAATGTCATGGTATCATCCTTCCAACGTCTGGTCGGCTCCTATCTATCTGTCCTGAAGTGCCTTGGAGGTCATCAGTTTGGGCCGAGCCTGTTCCGTTACCTTGATTGCCACAAATTGATCTCCGACCCCTAAACGGCACAGTGTCATGCTGTGCTTCTGCTCGCCTCACATCAGCAGAGATAAGAATCATTTCTCTGACTCTCGCTCAGGCCCCCCGACCCCCAACCTCCCTCACCATTAGTCTAGTGTATCTCACTGCTACCAACTGTCAATAGCCTCTGTCGAAGGGGGTTCAAGCAATGATAAGATTGCCATTGCACGATGCCGGGATCTCCAGGTGATGCCGCTCTGGATCATTGCAACCAGCAACGAGTCGTGGAGCAGGGCCAAGCCCTGTAGGACCCCGATGTAAGAGGCGTGGCCCCGCGAAGTCACAACAATTGCAAACATGCAACTTGAAAGAGACGCTCCTGCCTCCGAGTACGAATCCGTGCGGAAGCTGCCACAGGTAAATGCAGGATATCTACAAGATATCGTAGGAGAGGGGAGGCCATCTTCAGCCTTCCACTTTTCGCATTCTACGGATGCAGTGCAGGCCCGTGAAGAGCGACCGCTTATTTGAGACCCTCTGTCTCCTTGAGCGGACAACCGTAGGCCAGAGAGTAGGAGAGCCTAGGAGGTGGAGACCCCAAGTAGTTCTTGAAGCACCAGCAAAGACCAGAACGCCAATGCAAGTTCCAAAGTTGAGCCAATTGCCACCACCTGCATCTTGATACCCTTCTGGCAATGCAGTAGTAGCATGGAGGGTACAATCGCTCATCGCCACTACTTGGTATGGTATACCCCGTCTTCCGAGAACAGGCAAATGCATATGCAATGCAACGCAAATGCGCATGAGGGCCGTTGGGGAGATGGAAGCGAAGCTATGGTCAGCGGCAGCAGGAACGAGGCGTCTCGCGCCTACCGCTACCATGGGGGGTTGGCTGAGACCGCAAAGCTGAAGCCGGTAGGACTGTGCCCGAGGTCCCTCGTCTCGGGATACAACTGGTGTCAAACAGAGCACTGTAGCCTGTTGTTGAACCATGTAATCAATGTCTCTTTCTTGTCTCTCGTGTCTTGTGTGAACTGCCCGCCAGATGCGACGCCACGGATAAACGTGTCCAAGTAAGTAGGAGCCTTGGAAACGACAGGGCCGCCCCCTCTCAAAAACCGCACAGCCCCGCCCCTCCTCCTGCTTTCTTTCCACAGGCGCCTGCGGTACAGCCATCCAGTCTTGTCCCCGAGATAATGCTCCGCACTCTGTCACTACTACCCTTGCAGCCATGCGGGAGTCGTGCCGTTCTGACAGTACCTATGACTAAGAAGGGGATTTCGCCAGCTCCGTCGGGCCTTGGGGCCGCTGGGTGTTAGAAAATATGGCTTCATCTTTCTACAAATACGTGAATGTCAGTCGGCCGTCTTTTGACTCGAGCCCTTGTCATAAGAACCTAGTCTTTCAGCATCTCTGTTGGTAATTATATCTCGTCATTAATTTGCTACGGCCGTGACATCTTATAAGAGGGGGTTTGACGGTGATTCCGCTGTTGGTATATACTAAGAAAGTGACGGCGATCCCTCGTTGGGGCTTACAGCTCCCCCTGAATATGGGTATATCGTCTCGATGCAATGTCATCGAGTAAGCTCGCTTTCCAGTATAATCTGGGCTGCTGAACTCCATAGTCCCTGTAAGTCGGTGTCAGAGTCCAGTCGGCATCCCGGGAGAGGGGGGTCCGTATAACTTTCCACATGGGATCCGAATCAAGGACCATTCGCAAAGATCGTGAAGCCGGCCAAGCAACTCGCGCGGGAGAACATTGTGATATGCTTGTTTACGCCGCAGTATTTGTCCTGGTCTATTATCAACGCCTCGTTGACAGAGCTATAGTGTCCCTTTGGGAGAATCAGGCTGCCTTGGGAAAGCGAACCTGACGACCAAATTGTAATGGCTCATTCGGTACCGGCTTGGTGGGTATCCAAGGGAAACCTCCAGAATGACGTGTCAATATCAATGTTGAAATCATACGTTCATATTGCATTGGAAATTAACCACGACTTTTACCCACTTCACTTATCTAGTCTTCCCTTGAGCTCACTGAGGCCCCTCGGGTTAGCCAGCATAAGACACTAGGTTTAACTTGTCGGTTGCGCCAGCTTCTCATCCCAAGATCTTGCAATACACCTATGAGATTAATATTCCTCCTGCGTGCGTTATAGAAAGGGCTAGTTGTCGCATGACAGTTGTAATCTCCATCCAGTTGTAGTCCCACGGATATTACCGTCCCAGAAACTTCGGGCTACGCTGGGAATTACTTGGGCCCAGAAAACGTGCCTGTACAGATATACAAGCCGCCATAGGTCTCGCAGCAACTTCCCGGTTGTGTAGTAAGAAGAAACGATCTCAACGGAGAGGCATCACACGCTAGGTAGATGGAGTAATTCAAAACTCCAAATCTCAAGACCGAGGTGCTGCAGATACTCACACCAGTACACAACAACCGTCTACCTCCCTATCCTACTCAACAGTGGCCTGTATCCCATGTTTGTCTGATACAGAAGGTAAAGACGGTCTTTGATATCGTCGTGAAGCTGGCTCGTTCATCATGTATCCTAAGGACCTAGTAACCCTCCGGAAGGCTAGGTCAACGAAGGGGAAGAGAGGCTTTGTAACGGCCGACAAGCACAGCTTGAGGCGTCACTCTTTAATACCCCATATGATATCGGTCAAGCTTCCAGAGAAAATAAATGACAAGAAAATTGCCATACCTGCCAGTGACTGTTTTCTCCTATGGGAACTAGCTAGGAACATCAATGCAGGTTTGCCATGGGCGGTTGACGCAGGATAGTAGGCCATACTCAATAGGTAATCTCTTGTATCTGATGAAGTTATCCAACCGAGATCAGGCAATTCGGCAACAAATCAATCGCAATCGATCGTAGCCATCTTGCTTAAATTTCAGAGCCGACCCGACCCAAGTTCACTCACCACTTGACATGAGGAGTCTGATCAGGAGCATGCATATATATATATATATATATATATTTATGTGGTTGTTCGCTTAGAATGACATCTGGCACGGGAAACAAAGACCGTTGCTACAATCAATTACAAGGTCCAAGACGTAAGGTGTGCATCTCAGATTTGGAAAAGTAGAGTGTTTTGAAAGTCCTCCAATATGGAGTTCTCCAGGCATGTGCCCTCCGGCTGTTCACAACTGGCAACGTTGATATTCAACCTAAGCGCCCAATGGCAGCATTACGAAGTGGGGTGGCATAGTGAACAATGCCAGTCGGCAACTTCTTGAGGGACGTGGTCCGACTACATTTCAGCCACTACAACCTCAAATACTCCGTAGGATGACTAGCATTTGTTTCGTGATCTGACGTCTCCTGAACATCTACCAAATACAGCACGCGCAATAGTATTTGTTCTCTTGTCACCACTCAATGAGTTCGCAGACGGGCAACTCCAGCGATAGGTATGTGTACCCCTGGCCCGACCGACAATGAGGTGATTGTTATCTTGACGGGGCTGATGTTGGAAATTATACACAGCGCTGCGAATATTATATTCATAGGAGCTGGAGCGGTTGGTTGCTTCTATGCTTCGCGACTGCATCACGTAAAAACCCAAGTACCAGTTCTATCGCCAATCTGGCCGAGCTAACTCATTCACTAGCCTGACCGCAATGTTCGTGTCTCGCTTGTGGCCAGATCCAACTACAAAGCCATCAATGAGTCGGGCGTAAAGCTGCAGACCCATTCATTTGGAGATTACACCTTCAAGCCACACGCGGCCTTCTCCTCCGTCGAAGCTGCGGCATCCGCAAGCAAGGACGGCTGCAAGACGCAGTGGGACTATGTCTTCGTGACGACCAAGGCACTACCTGATCGCTCAGATGACTCCGCCATGATTGCCCCCCTAATCGGACCCCGTACGAGCATCGTTCTGATACAGAACGGTGTTGGTGTCGAGGAGCCTTTCCGTCAGCGGTTCCCCGACAACCCCATTGTGAGCGCCGTGACGGTCGTCAGCGCCGAGCAGACGTCGCCAGGCGTCGTCCGCCAGAACCGATGGACGCGGATAAGCATCGGTCCGCACACAGACGGACTCGGAACAGGCGACCCCAAACTTGGCCGGCTCGGCACACAGGCGGTCGAGCAGCTCAGTATGTGGTGGGGCCCAGGCTGGGGTGGCATACGTGACGTCGAGCCTCATGATGAGATCGGGCTGCAGACAGTGCGATGGCACAAGCTTTGTATCAACGCGGCGTTCAATCCGAGCGCGGTGCTAAGTGGCGGAAGGGGCAATGCCGACATGGTGACGGACCCGGAGCTACGGGTGCATGTGGTGGGCATCATGAATGAGATTAGAACGGCGGTGCCCAAGATACTGGGGAGGGAATTTCCCGATGATTTGGCTAAGCCGGACCGGATCGTGAAGAGCACGGAGCGGAACACGGGAGCTAGGCCTAGTATGCTGCTCGACTGGGAGGCGGGCCGGCCGCTGGAACTGGAGGTGATTCTGGGCAACCCGGTGAGGATAGCCAAGGCACACGGGGTCGAGATGCCGCGTCTGCAGACTTTATATGCGCTTCTGAAAAGCGCGCAAGCAATGCGCGAGGAGGGGACCGCAAAGTCAAGACTATAGAGACATGGACCTGCTAATCACATGCCACCCAGTCACATGCCACCCCCGATGTTAGGAGTTCGCCGCAGAGATTGTTGGCATGTCTAGTTTTGGTAACCCAGCCCACAACTGGCCCCCAAATCTCCGCGTTATGGTTGGCATCACGGCGAACGGCTGTCGTGACCATACATAAAATTGCGTGAAGGAGCTAAGGACCTTGACATGGCCACGCACTACGTCTTGTCGTTGCCTGTATGCTTCTATACAACCATCAATTACGAAGAGCTGAAGCTACTCAACCTGCCAAGAAAATCAATTATAGTCATCGTTGGCTGCACTACCCGGACAGCCTTGCAGGAAGTCCTTCGGACCGAGGGATACGAGCATTGAACAAGTTGAGTATAATGAGTTGTTATCGAAAGGGCTCGAGCCCACATGAAGGAAGTATCAAGGCAAAAGAACAAGTCGCCCCGAGGGAAATAGCCGTGGAGAGATGTCAACTAGACAACATTATACGTGGAAACGCGAGTCTCGGCATGCCACCCGAACGTTGGCTAATCTCAACGGCATGGGTATCCAGACTGAAGTGACCATGGCGCAAGGTCAGGGGAGAGCCATTCGGGCAACGGTTTGGCCGATGTATCTACCTAGTAACTACCGTAAGGGAGAGGAAGCACGTGAGAGACATGTGCACTTGTCGGAGCGCAGTCGGCAGGCGCAGATGGACCGTTGACGGTCGTTGACGCCATGAGATCATTGGCCAAGCAGCAAACACCAGCGTTGCAAGAGGCAGGCTTTGGTGGAGAAAGCGGCTCAACGGGATGGATGGCCTGACGTCCTCATGCATCCATCTCATGATGCTGATGATGAAAGACATAGACAGAGCGGGTGGCGGTGGCGTTGCATGCCTCTCTGAACAGGAGGAGGATGAGGCAGGCGGACAGATAGACAAGGCAGAAAGGTTACGTTACACGGAAGCTTGAGCATGAATACGGTTACACCATGGAAAGGGAAAAGTTGGAATGGAAACAAGGGCTAACCGAGAAAACACACAGTGCCTACACCGTACCCGGTACATTAGAAAAAGCCTGGCACACCACGCAGCTAGTGACGCCAGATGAAGGAGGCCGGCAGCCGGGTTCTGATTGGCTTGTAAGGCTTGAATACCTGAAGCACGGGCCACTATCTATGACGGCATGACTCGCTGTGCGCAGAGAGAGAGAAGTCTTGCATTTGCATATGTATCCTCATCCAACCTGGCCAATTACGCAATTACGCAGCAGTTTACTCCGTACATGGGACCTTATACGCATAGGTAGATCAAAAGCCTTTGTTGTACCTAGCTGAGGTCAAATCATCCACCCAACCTGCTGGCGTTGGGAACATTGGGAACGGGGAGTCAGCCTTGCTCAGCTCTTGACGTCGAGGGCGTGTACTTCAGACACTGTGTCTCGTTGCACTTCAGTCCTCCCTTTGTTTTTACTATCCGACGCGTCCATCGTGCGCACTGACTTTCTCCTCGTCATTTTCGCCTCTCAGGTTGGTGTTTTTTGTCGGGTCAGGGATAAGAATAAAATAAAACATAATATAAACAGAAACATACAGGGTGGCAGGGGAAAGTTCTATGGCCCTAGTGATGTAAATTGCCACACAGTATCTAAGCATCCTACCTATCTCTTTTACCATAGAAATCTACGGAGTATAGTGGTGGTGATAGGTAATGCGTAATAGCTAGATGGCGTTGACAGCTGGCGGACTGGAGGGGGGTAACCTGACAGGGGGGATAAAACCTCGGCCTGGTACCATAGTAAAATCCCTCCCCAATCTGGATTAGTGCAGACAGAGGTAAGTGTCTGTCAGCGCCAGTACTATGTACGTGGAGGGATTTTCCAGCAATGGTAAGATCGACACTTGCATAGCCTTTTCAAGCATGGGCGATTGTGAAAATCCCATTTATCCAGGATCACGAATTCATATTCTTGTCTTTACATAGTACTGTCAACTGCCGAATTCGCCACTGATGATTACCAACCCCTCGTCAAACGAAAGGACTATTGGTGAAAGAAACCCCATTGAAACACAATTCAAATGTTGTTTTACAGCAGACATGTATTCCAGCACTATGTGTTTAGAGAGTCTGCATCATTGTCAACTGGGAAGGGAGTGGTTGATGAAACCCCTGCAGGGCCCGTCAATGGCCACTGATCGATCTTCCACTTCAAAAGACGTTCGGGATCAGGCTTCTACAGACCCAAGATATACCGGTCAGAATGCGATGCACGAATGCGTGGCTTTCCAGACCATCTCTTTGGAAAGCATGTCATGGCCAATACCAGTCAGTCGCTTGGAGTGGGAGCGGCCACGGATGACTGAAACCGCGACATTGGGACGGCCACGGTCTGCCCCACGCAAAATCGGTGGCGACCAGACGAGATCGAATTTACAATTCCCCTCCATTCGAATTCAGGGATTTCCGATCGCCTGTCTGCACACACCTGGGTTCCCCCACTCTCAGTGCATGGACCTGCCTGCCCTTCTCCTCCCCGACGGCTCTTGGTTGTGTACACTACCTGCGTTCCCCCCACCCCCGACTATGGTGAGGATGTTATTGTGTACCTACCTAGCGAAATACACGTAAACTACAGTACAAACCCCTGGAGACCAGCCGGGTAGAACATCCTTATTGGTAATAGGTAAGGCACATACTGCGTAGTACGGGCTCCGAGGGTTTTTTTTTGGGGGGGGGGGGAGGGGGGGCATTTCGATGCAGCTTTGTCGTCCAGGATTGCAGCAGAAGAAAGACGGCACAAGCAAACGAAAGGTCAGAACTGTCTTCTTCAGCCACAATGCATGTTCTCTCGGTAGACACTTTTGTCCCGGATATGAAACACACGTACAGTCATGACTGTAAGACGGCTTGGTTCCCCTGGGTCTATCAATATCGGCTTTCCCCTTTCTACCTCCCTTTTCATCTGTCCGTGGCCGTAGTAAAGGTAGGCACTTGAGAGACTGGCTAGCTAGCACTAACGAAGCATCAAGCCCCATAGAGCCTGTCATGAATCAGCGTTTCGGGCAATTGCCGCTCAGAGCTCTTTGAAGCGGAACCGTGGTAGGGAGGGTAGGACGCAAATGGCGGATGGTCGGGCTTGGTCCATGACGTTACACGAGGAGCCACTTGACCAGCGATCGACACGCTAAGAGAGCCTCGGCTACCCGACGACCTTGCCAACAACCGCCCCTGATGCCTGTCTTTTGGCTGCCTTCCGTGCCTCCCTCCCATCCTTTCGTTCGACGACCCTACCATGTACACCACACCTATGTAAACTACCTACCTAGGTAGTAAGTAACTCTTTGCTCTTCAAAGGTGAGCTTGATCCTAGCCTGCATGATTCTTCTCTGCTCCGGGAGTTTAACTGGACTCCCGATATGTAAACCACCTAAACTGGCCTGGATATGGATGGCTCATAACCTGGGGGGACCAAGCACCCGGCCTACCCTCATTGCCCTCCTTTCCTTGATTAGAATTCCACAAGGTAGCGTAACTGCAAGTACTACCTATGTAGGTTTGTGTCTGTAGACTAGTAGGCCCAGGTAGGGGATCTCAAATGAAGGTCCCCTGGTTCTCTAAATACCATGTTTTGTAGCCCAACCCATGCTGTCTTAACTCTTTCACAACTTGGTTTGTCGGTGTAGGCCCGAGCTGTGTGATGTGGTGTGCGGGTTGCAATTCATTCTTGCGTCCTTGAAAATCAAACCCCGTCTTTTACCTCAAGCAGTTCAGCGCCTTCCCACTTGCCTTCCCTGCTCCATGATAATGGCTCTTCCTCGCCACTCTTGATTTGGCCGAGGTACGTACGAATACTTGTCATTACCCTCGTCCCGCCTCCTTCTCAGCTGCCACGCCACGGCAGCGACAGTGGCCCAGCCACCTGTTTCCTAGCCTTCCTTTCCCCTCCGACACCTTGGGCACCTATCCTAGTTGCCCACCGCCCCTTCTCCTCAGTCTCCCCCAAAGCCATTTTTACCATCGCGGCTTCATAACCTGCCTAATTGTGCGTAGTACTAATACAGGAGGGGGAAGAGGTAGTGCTGTAATTAGCCTCTGCAGGATTTGTCGTTTTCACTGCTCCCGACTGCTGCTCAAGCCACTCTTGCTCAGGTATTGATTGCTGCTACTATGTATTGCCGCTATACCAGACCACGGAGCTAGCCACACCTCCTCCCTATTGACACTGAATTTCCAACTATCTCCTACCATGTACATGCCTTACCTAATGTAAGTCATTACCTCTTCTCCTCTTACGCCACCACCGCCGACCCGAAAATCAAGGAGTCCCATGGCCGAGAGCTGTACTTCTCTCCCTCTCGTCACCACACGCCCTCATCTGCATATCGCTTTTGACTACCTATTCCTGCTCTTTCCCTTCTGCTGTCGCTCGTCGTCCGTGGCAAAAACTGTCCTTGCCTTCTGCACGCACACGCACCCACACATCCTTCCGAACCCCGATTCAGCCCAGCACACACAATTGCATTCTACCCCCCGACATCTCCAACGCACGCCCCCCGACTGAATGAGTAGACGATCTCGTCCACCGTAGACGCATTGTACCGCGAACAACCAGCGAAAAGCGAGCGCACATCCTTCTAGGGGGCTCGATCTCAGCGAGGACTCACCGTTGACTTCTGGTGCTATTCCTTTACACCAAGATCCTTCTTCGACCTTCAGTACCCCCTGTTTCTTACCTTTTCCCGTCTCTCTATTCCTTTGTACTATTGTCTGTGTTCTTGTTCAACCAAGGTTCTCGTCCTCGTGCGACTTCTTCCGCCTTATGCCAAACCTCAGCAACTGCCGACCTTTGAACCCCTCGCGAGGCCTCGTCCTGCTTGCGACTATCTGGGCGGGGGCTGTAGACTTCTAGGTCTCTGCTTCTGGTCTTCAAGCATGGACGCACATTCCGACGCACCGCGGCCTTCCGTGGCCTTCGGCGACCGGTCATCCACATACGATTCTTCCGAGATGACTCCTGTACCGAGCGGTCAGTCCAACTCTGCTGCCCACCAGCTGCCAAACTCGCCCGTGGCACCCACCGCCAATTCCGTCCCCGTTCCTCCCACGAATGCAACACCAAGCTGTGCTTCGTCATGGAGCGCCAGTTCTGACCGCCAGCTCGGCCACGGTGTTAGTCCCGACCCGACAGATCGAGTTTTCCCAATCCGTTCCGTTGTGAGCGTCGACCGCACTGGCAGGACCTCTGGTGAACACGATTACTTCCCACGAGTGCCTGACCATGGCCAGTATCAAGCACCCCGTCCGGGCAACCCTCGTATTGATACTGCCACCTTCGAATCTGTCCCTCATCGCGATTCCACCTCAACACCTTTGTCTAACGCTGCCTCGCCGAGCGACCGCCAGGGCGTACGGACGAGAAGGAAGATGGCAGGGTCCGGCCCAATATCCAGCGTCCAAGCCGATGCCGCTCGTCACAACAGTTCGCAACCACTAGAAATATTCCAAGATTTTGCGTCAGACGGCGAGGATTCCTCTGCACAAGGAGATGGTTCTTCGCATCATCAGATATCCTTCTCCACCGGTGCCCTCGGCGAAACGGGTAACGATGGTCTACTGACGACACGATTCAAGCACGTCGTGACGGATGAAGGTCACCATGTTATCACAGGCACCGATGGCGTTCTTCAGCGATGCGAGGATGAACCCATCCATACACCCGGCTCTGTTCAGGGGTTCGGCGCATTGGTGGCCGTTCGCGAAGAAAGCGATGGCCGGTTTTCTGTTCGGTACGCTAGCGAGAACACGGGAATGCTGATAGGGTATCCGCCACAGCACTTGTTCCGCCTCGGCAACTTCTTGGACATTCTGAGCGAGGAGCAGCAAGACAACTTGCTCGACCACATCGACTTCATCCGCGACGAAGATGCCGACCCAACTGTCAATGGACCAGAGGTCTTTAGTATATCCGTGCGCCCGCCGAGGAAGAAGAGCGTCAAACTGTGGTGCGCCATTCATATCAACCCAGCACATCCTGACTTGATCATTTGCGAATTTGAAGTCGATGATGACCGCCGGTTTCCCCTACGGCCACCAGACGAGCCTACCCCGATGACCCCCGAAGATACGTTGCAGTCAAATCCCACAGCCGAGGAGCTGGCCGAGAGCACTGCGATCCTGAGCAAGCCCCTGAGAGTTTTACGGAGTGCGCGCAAGCGTAGAGGTGATGCTGGGGCCATGCAAGTGTTCGACATCATGTCCCAGGTGCAGGAACAGCTTGCAGGGGCCTCGAACCTGGAGAGCTTCCTCAAGATCCTAGTAGGCATCGTCAAGGAACTTACTGGCTTTCACCGAGTCATGATTTACCAGTTTGATTCGTCTTTCAATGGTAAAGTTGTCACAGAGCTCGTCGACACCACACAAACCAAAGACCTGTACAAGGGCCTGCACTTCCCCGCCTCCGACATCCCACGGCAGGCTCGCGAGCTGTACAAACTGAACAAAGTAAGGCTCCTCTACGACAGAGACTTGGATACCGCCCGACTTGTCTGTAAAACAAAGGAAGACCTCGACGTGCCGCTAGATCTCAGCCATTCATACCTTCGTGCCATGTCACCTATCCACCTCAAATACCTGAAAAACATGGCCGTTCGCTCGTCAATGTCGGTTTCCATCAATGCCTTCAACGAGTTGTGGGGCCTCATCGCCTGTCACTCATACGGCCGCAAGGGTATGCGTGTATCATTTCCGATTCGCAAAATGTGCCGTCTGGTTGGAGACACCGCCTCACGCAACATTGAAAGACTGTCGTATGCCACTCGGCTTCAAGCGCGGAAACTCATCAACACGGCGCCTACTGAAAAAAATCCGTCTGGCTATATCATCGCTTCATCTGATGATCTCTTGAAGCTGTTCGACGCCGACTTTGGCATGCTATCCATCAAGGGAGAAACGAAGATTCTTGGCGATGTCGAGCATTCGCAAGAGGCCTTGGCAATGCTAGAGTACCTTCGGCTACGCGAGTTGGCGTCCGTTGTAACGTCTCAGGATATCCGCGAAGACTTTCCAGACCTACGGTACCCTCTTGGTTTCACCGTTATTGCGGGACTGTTATACGTTCCTTTGAGCGTCGGAGGCAACGATTTCATCGTATTCTTTCGGAAAGGCCAGGTCAAGGAGGTCAAGTGGGCTGGAAATCCGTACGAGAAGACATTGCGCGAAGGAACAGCTGCGTATCTGGAACCCAGAAAAAGCTTCAAAAGCTGGCACGAGACGGTGCTTGGGAAATGCCGAGAATGGTCAGAGGAACAAGTCGAGACAGCCGCCGTCCTTTGCTTGGTCTATGGCAAGTTTATCGAAGTTTGGAGACAGAAGGAAGCAGCATTGCAGAGCAGCCGCCTTACCCGGCTCTTGCTTGCAAACTCTGCCCACGAAGTCCGCACCCCGCTCAACGCCATCATCAACTATCTCGAAATTGCGCTAGAAGGCTCGCTCGACCAGGAGACCCGTGACAACCTTGCCAAGTCCCACTCAGCATCCAAGTCGCTGATTTACGTCATCAACGACTTGCTCGATTTGACCAAGACAGAGGAAGGACAGAACCTGATCAAAGACGAGGTTTTCGATTTTGGAATGTG